ACCCTACCTAAGCTGGTCGAACGTTTCGTTTGGGTCTATACCCTAGCTGCACTGATGAGATATTAATAAAAATCGGGAGGGCGGGAGACGGCCTAAAAAATCGGGAGAAACCCGCAATTCTCGGGAGAATTGGGATCTCTGTAATTATGTCATCATCAGGTCCTGATGATGACATAATTAATGTCGAAATATTGAATCCCAACACGATGGCGTTTATTTCAATACTTGGAGTATGTATTATACTTTCTTATCTGAGATTAATCAGTGGACCTTTCGGTCTATTATTCCATCACGACAATAACAATTACTATCTATACCGTACCGTGCGTTCACAATAACACAATACAATCTACAGACTTAAAAACAGTTCAACCAAAAACACAGAAAATTTTACCAAAATACTCCTAAACTAAACACATAAAAACCATTATAAGTCAATCGTGACGTCATCACTGCAACTCCCGATGTTATTTGCCTATTCCCCACCGTCCATTATTTTTTCAATTACCGTACTTGCGCGAATTAGCGCCCCGTTTGAATAAGCGCCCCTTTTGAATAAACGTGAAAATTTCCTGATAATTTTTTGATTTACTTATATTTTGAAATAAAAAAAAAATTTACAGTATTTTTTTATATTTTTGGATGCACCATACATTTTGGGATGCACCATACATTTTGTATGAGTGCCACTGTATCAAAAGTGGATCCAATATTAGTTGAATTGATTGACCTGAATTGATCGAAAGTACAGTACAGTGTACAGTGTACTGTATGAAATTTGTGACGTCATAGGTCATATATTCCGGAACCATGTCAAACGGTGTCGGGTCCTTTTCAATCTCCACGTGCAAGAAGTAGTCTGTTAGGTTCTATTTCGCGAAAGAAAATTACACCCAATAAACGCAAAATGGCCGAAATATCTAAAAAGAAGAAATCAAAGAAATCTAAAGTAAGTACTAATACCAGTTTCATATTTGTATATTTTACACTTAGGCTGAGACATAGCGAGACCTACACTACAGTAGAGTAGAGGCCTAGGCTAGGCCGGCCTAGCTAGGCCCTAGGTCGTGGACGTTGGCGTGGAGAGCTCTATAGATGGGCCTAAGTTTAGGATCGTAGGTTAGGACGGGCAGATGTGTGATTTTAGACCACATAGAGATTGACAATCAAAATAACGTTATTTGACAGGCAAATTAATATTTTGAATCAAGTGCGATCCATGGACCCCGTGTAAGGCCCTATAAAAAATATTAGTTTATCACCCTATCTGGGAAGGAAAAGTGATGAGGGAGGGAGGTTTTTATTTTTTTTATTTTTTATTTTGCTAAAGCCAAATATCACCCTTGGGTTGTTTGCTGGTGCATTGATATTCAAAGTAAAACATGATTTGAATAACGCAAACAATATCTACTAACCTATTTAATAAAATAAATGAAAAAAATTTCCAAAAAATTTTTTTTTTCAAAAAAAAATTTTTTTTTTCCAGTGCCGTAAAAGACATTCGCGCGAGGGTGATAAACTAATAATTTTTTTTATTGGGCCTAAGTAGCTCAGGTCCAATATCTTCTACAGTAGTAAGGACCTCTAACGGGATATTCCATTTTCTGCACAGGTTATCTAGTCATCCAAAGAATTTCCAATGATCGTCGTGCTATGCGATCGCTAGAGGATGTAAACAACGATTTAACAACCGTATTGAGGACATTCGTGGCTTTATTTGGACAATTTTTTTGGACAAAAGTTTCACATGTAACAGAATGTAAGCCCCAAATCCACATTAATATTTGAAATAATTTATATCCGAAAATATTTAGATGATGTCAGAAACGAACGAATGATATAGTAATACGTATGACATTAATAAACAAAAATATCATTAGCATTTATTAATAGAATAAATCATATAAATACTAAGGCCTATATGAAAATGTACTGTATTATTATTATCAAATGATTAAACAAGTTTTAAAAACCATTACAAATAATTCTTACAAATAAATAATCGTTAATGTTAAAAATTCAAAAGGTTTCAACGTTAATTATACACATTTTGGTAATTTCCTGTCCTGTGGGTGTTTATTCGGGTAGTTCTGTACCTTGGGTAGTTGCGTATCATTTGGGTCCTTACCTATGATCTTACTAGCTTGTTTGATTACCAGCATTTTTTCCCTTATTATTATTGAACCAAATCACACCGCTGAGTATTGAAGCCGATTGTGCAACAGATACATTAAACAGATAAAATATTACACTCAACATTAAATTTTCTTAATTCTAATGAGGAAGCACTTTTCTTTTTAGTTCCTATGCATGTAATGCAATAGGAACTATTGTAATCACTCTGAGTCACATTTCTTTTGTTTTTTATTGTGTGTAGTGTGTGTGTGTGTGTAGACATTTATGCAAATGCGCATGCATCAAAGAAAAGTTTTCCGACATTTTGTTTGACATCGCGATGGGAAGATCGATGTGAAGTTTCTGCAGAGTTCAGTCAGGACTCGCGCTAACCGACCGGAAAGTCGGCATGGATGAAACTATTTTGGTTTTACAGCAAAAAAAATCAACTGCTATAGGCATAGGTATTTTGAATAAGGCCTAAAATAAAACTAAAATGTTTAAATACTTGCTGAAATACATCATTTTTTCATTAGATCTCCATTTTTCACTAAGTCCATGCGACGTTTTTTTCTGTTGTATACGTATGAGTAGTCATATGAAGGTACTATATCCCCGACAGTTGTCTGTGCAGCAATGTACCCTTTGAATGCAAACTGAAAACCTGTCTCTTATACACATCTAGATGTGTATAAGAGACAGGTATACATTATGATGATGATGATGATGATGATGATGAAGTATAATGACTAATTGAAAATGAAAGGCATAAATAGGCCTAGTCTTAAAATATGCAGTGGCGTAGAAAAGTATTTTTCATGGGGGGGGGGTGATTGGCGTGTTAGCCAGTGTCGACGTAACAGGCGGGGGGGGGGGGGGCTGCCCCTCCCCTGACGGTTTTTACTGGGCTGACCAAGCCGTCGTACCGGGCTGGGGAATAAGAGAAAAGAAAGAGGGGGGG